TTTAAATTTCAGCCATTTTTAATCCGCGTCCGCATGTTATTTGTCTAGGATTGTCTGAAAAACTGTCGGTTGTATAAAGCATGAATTATTGTATAATTGCAACCCATTTTCACATTTTATAAGTACCGAAGTTCTATATACACCTGAATAAGAAATGATATTCAAAATATTTAAAATTAATGTTAAAATATGCAAATATATTTTATAATTACAGTTAGTTGGATAGATTGTTGGCGTCATATGATTAACGTAATGTGCGTATAAATCGCAACGTGGCGAAAAATGTATGAACGGAGACAAGAGCTTTAGCTCCTTTTCATAGAGAATATATAGGACTGAGTTATTGCTGAATAGCCGTACGATGTGGAATATCAAAATCAACGGCGCATGCACACAATATGTTGGAAGCAAATTAACCGTGTGAGTACATGTGTCCGCAAGCCATAAGGTCGTCCAAAATCTTTAAACGAAAGGGATGAAAGAATTTTACTCAAAGCTCTAATATAACATCGAATATAATAGTATAATATAATTATTCACTGTTATATGGCTGATATAGAGTAGTCAAAATATTTTACACACACTAGCCTGTATAAATGCTTATAGTGAGCATGTTCTGATAATACTCTAAATGTGTAAATTCTTAGCACAAAATTGAAGAATTAAATCTTTATCATGACCTGCTTTGTTATATCTGTGGCCGTATTGGTTAATGCAGGTTACGCGCTAACTTGCGGTGAACGAAATATTTTGCTTCTTGGACCTCTCGGCGGCCGAACGGTAAACACACACAACAAATTTTAACCTGTCACAGACAGATTTACCAATAAATTTCCATTTCACATGCTTTCTTATAGCCAATTATCTACATTGCATTTATGATGATACACGGTAAATCTTTGGAAAAAACAGGAAAATATCACGGTAAACATCCGAGGACTCCCATTATAAATATAATTACTCAATGATTCTTAATTATTCAGCAACTATCGCTTTTCAATGTTTACCGTGGGCATTTTAAATACAAGGGTTTACAATTAATATATTTCATGATACTATAATCGCATAGAGTTTTTACGCAACTAGATATAAAATAATTGTCATACGCTTCTTTCTATCATGCGTTAACACGCAAAGAGATAGACAAACGCGACGGTAAACGCATCGCTATCTAGTGAGCATATGACAAACCGGAAGCGAATGCTCCTTTCATTAATCTCTACCGCTCATTTTGCTATATTACTCTAATACAGTCATAATATAGCATTTGCAGAATTTCCGACTGTTTTCCAATGCAGAAAAAGATAATTAACGAAGATTTATTGTAATATACATTTTCGGACAATCATAGACAAATTTACTCGGACAAACATGGCAAATAAATTTTTTTTTGAAACATTTTCATATATACTTCGTAAAGTCGGTCCCCCCTCCCCTGAAACAATGTTGATGAACACTTCAGTCATTATGGCAACTATTGCAGTATCTGTAGCAACAACATTGTAACGGGGGAGCGGGGAATACGGCTGAATATGCATATAATTATTCAGTGACGTCGGTCCCCCCTCCCCTGAAACAATGTTGATGAACACTTCAGTCATTATGGCAACTATTGCAGTATCTGTAGCAACAACATTGTAACGGCCGGAGCGGGGAATACGGCTGAATATGCATATAATTATTCAGTGACGTGGAGCGGGGAATACGGCCGAATATGCGTATAATTGATTCCTTTAAATTTCAGCCATTTTTTCAGCGTCCGCATGTTATTTGTCTAGGATTGTAGGTAAAACTGCTGAATATAGGCATGAATACGTTAGTGACATTTTATTAGTAGCCATAGGAATTGTTCCTTTTGTTCTAGTCGTTTCTGTAGGAATTTACGTCTTTGGTATATGTGCGTAAAATTCAAAACAAAATCCGATTAAGTTAGAGCACTTGACCTTTAATAAATGTTAAACGCTTGAATCCAGCTATGCGATCTATGGTAGTAATAAATATACACAAACGTTGCCCGTTGTTTTCAGGCTGCAGCCCCCCTCCCCCCCAGCCCCACCCTCCCGTACGCCTATGGGTGAATATATAAACTTTGAATGTTATTGAAACAATTGCGATGCCAAGCTCAAGATTTCGCTGGATATATTTCCGTACACCAGGCTGCGTTAGTGGCATGTATTGTCAGATTCACATGCAATATAAGGAGTTATTATGCTGGTGAATGTGATATCAATAGTGAGCTCGGGAAGTGAGTGTATTTTATTCTAGAAATAGTTGTTAGAATTAATAGATTCTTGAATCAGCATAGCATGTGAAACGATGCCAAGTAAGCGTGATTTGCCGCTCATTGATTCGATATTTTAGAAAGTTCTTATATGCCTATACTAATCCTAACAATATCGGACGCCATTTTGTTGCGTAATTTTTTGTCATGTCCACCATCTTGACCATCCTCCCCCTACCCCAATCAGTTTTGGTTAAACCAAAACACATCAAACGCGACGAGAAATGGGACACAACATTGAACAGGGGGCGGGGGGGATTGTCGTTTGTTGAAATTCAAAGATTTTGTGGCATCTGTCCCAAGACTTTTGAAACTGATCAATCACTTTCAGAAGTTGTTGGGACACATGTAGTTTTAGCATGTAAGTGGATCATTATAGTTGTTTACACACAATACCGCTCCCCTCCCCCTCCCTCCACTCCAATCAATGTTGGTTAAACCAAAACACATCAAACGCGACGAGAAATGGGACACAACATTGAACAGGGGGCGGGGGGGGGGGGATTGTCGTTTGTTGAAATTCAAAGATTTTGTGGCATCTGTCCCAAGACTTTTGAAACTGATTATACCTCATTCGCACGTTTTGCGAATTACAACATCGTGTAACACATTCAATAGACTATTTACAGTTAAGGTCACATTTCAAAGTGGTATATTCATATTTAAGAAAGTAGAATAGATCATGTCCGTGAATTCTGACCATTATAAAACAAATTAATTGCAAAGTACGTCATGTTCAACAAATACCTTCTCTCTCCATCGAGATCTTTCTCAGATGTCCAAGTGATGTGATACCACGTGTCTTCTTTCACTTTCCCAAAATGTATATCGTTGCCGTAATACCCGTAAATGACAGTCTAATAGCCAAAGTCTTAGCGTTAATAAAGTTGTTTTGAAAATATGTCCAAAGCAACACTCTAATTGTAATTCTTTCCCAAAATGTATATCGTTGCCGTAATACCCGTAAATGACAGTCTAATAGCCAAAGTCTTAGCGTTAATAAAGTTGTTTTGAAAATATGTCCAAAGCAACACTCTAATTGTAATTGTAATTGTAATTGTAATTGTAAGTGTGATTGTGATTGTGATTGTGATTGTAGTTGTAGTTCTAATAGCCAAAGTCTTAGCGTTAATAAAGTTGTTTTGAAAATATGTCCAAAGCAACACTCTAATTGTAATTCCTAATTGTAATTGTAATTGTAAGTGTGATTGTGATTGTGATTGTGATTGTGATTGTAATTGTAATTGTAATTGTAATTGTGATTGTGATTGTGATTGTGATTGTGATTGTAGTTGTAGTTGTAATTGTAATTGTAATTGTAATTGTAATTGTAATTGTAATTGTAATTGTAATTGTAATTGTAATTGTAATTGTAATTGTAATTGTAATTGTAATTGTAATTGTAATTGTAATTGTAATTGTAATTGTAATTGTAATTGTAATTGTAATTGTAATTGTAATTGTAATTGTAATTGTAATTGTAATTGTAATTGTAATTGTAATTGTAATTGTAATTGTAATTTGTAATTGTAATTGTAATTGTAATTGTAATTGTAATTGTAATTGTAATTGTAATTGTAATTGTAATTGTAATTGTAATTGTAATTGTAATTGTAATTGTAATCGTAATCGTAATGTGTTTATTCATCATTTCATTATATACAATAATGCTTTTGTTATCAATGACTATATTAAATAATCTGTTCTTTGGGTATAATTAATTAAAAAAGTGTCTAAATGTTTGTTGATATGTACAGTTAAATTTTAAAAACAAACTCTGGAACATATACCGCTACATAATTAAAATATTTACCGCTAAGTAGCTAAATAACTAAACTAACATTTTATAACTATAATAGTGTAATTGTAATAGTGTAATTGTAATTAAATGTTTGTTGATATGTACAGTTAAATTTTAAAAACAAACTCTGGAACATATACCGCTACATAATTAAAATATTTACCGCTAAGTAGCTAAATAACTAAACTAACATTTTATAACTATATAATAGTGTAATTGTAATAGTGTAATTGTAATTAATAGTGTAATTGTAATAGTGTAATTGTAATAGTGTAATTGTAATTGTAATAGTGTAATTGTAATTGTAATTGTAATTGTGTAATTGTAATAGTGCAATTGTAATAGTGTAATTGTAATTGTAATAGTGTAATTGTAATAGTGTAATTGTAATTGTAATTGTAATTGTAATTGTAATAGAGTGTAATTGTAATAGTGTAATTGCAATAGTGTAATTGTAATTGTAATAGTGTAATTGTAATAGCGTAATTGTAGGAATTGGAATTGGAATTGGAATTGGAATTGTTAATTATGTACGTTTTTCAAATGTTAATTGTTGAAATTCCAAAGGTTATTCAACAGTCTTCTATAACGGTATTTGTTTAAAACATATAAAACATTTAGTGTGTTGATATATATGGAATATCAATACGGAAAATTTTTTTATATTTTTTTATGATATAGCATTGAATTTAAAGACAGGCAGGAAATTTCCCGTGTTGACATTACTTATGTCAACACGGCTCTTAGCCAATCAGCGTTCAGTATTTACAAATGCTATATTATAATGCTTTTTAATGAATAGAGGAAAAAATAATTTTTTTCAGAAATACCCTTTTCCACCCATCTCCGCCTAAATCATTAAGATAAACAGATCGCAATTAATATATTTACCTCACTTTTGCCAATAACGCCCAAGTGCTAACCATTGTTTACAGATGTTGAGCCATGACCCAATACCCTAACATTTTTCTGACCAATATTTCTGAATTTCAGTAAAGCCATGACTGACCAGTTGCTGTGCCTCCAGAAATTATCTGAGATACCAGAAATCTTTAAATGTTTTTTATTAGAAAATAACACAGCTTGTCGCATCACGGCGTCTTCGTAAGGTAGAGTTGAATTCACTGGTAAAATATCTGGTAGATAAATGTTTAAATATTGACATTACATTCTATGACAAATGAATGCAGGTTACGTATCATTGCGGTTTTATTTATCACTCTCAGGTAAACTGGTTGTAAGTAATGTGCGAATTTGTTCGCGCGAAGCAAAAAACAGATTTGCCGCGAAAAGGTGTGTCCCTTCCCACTTTCCTCCTCAGCTAACCATCACGTTGCCGAATTTTTTGGCAACGCGGGAACGAATGTTCCCAGGCTAGTGGAAAACGGTCCCTTATAAACATGCATGCGCCTTTCCATGACCGACAGAGGCTCGAGAAACGCAGGCGGTGAATAAACGCGTCAAAAGACAATTCACAAATGACCGTGGTATATGTGATGACGCATTATAGGACTGGCGAAGGTCGCCTTCTTTAAAAAACTAAGCCGAATCGTGCCCGTATTGGCAACAATTAAAATACAGTTCAACTAGTTCTATTACGTGTAATGTTTTTGTCTTGTTCGTTAAACATTCGTCACAAGAATATGATGGGAGAAAAACTTTTCTTAATTAAACGAAGAAAATATTTGCCAAACCGGACATAATACAGTGCGGCGCCCTAGAGCATGCGAAAAACAGCACGGTGGGTTAAGCAAGAACCCCACAAGCACAAAAACTAACAAACTAACAGATTACCAAGCTAACAGACTACCAAGCTAACAGACTAACAAACTAACAGACTACCAAGCTAACAGACTACCAAGCTAACAGACCACCAAGCTAACAGACAACCAAACTGGCAGACTAAAAAGCTCACGTACGGAACGGCAAAGCGATGTCTAACTTCGTTTTAGCACCGCAATTTAAAACGCGGGCTACATTTTTTTGCTAAGCTTTATGGCTTGCATTAAATTATTACATTTTCAGTGGCATCATTGCCGTTCCATTGCTCGTGTTTTACTGTGCTCTTACACTACCAAACACTTTAGATTTTTTCCATTTGACATGTTTACCCGCTATAGATCGATCTAAATTTCCAATGGGGGAATGAGGGGTGTACAGTATCTCCCAAAATTTTCCTAGGACTGAGGTAGCTCATGGAATTTTAGTGATATTCAAGGGATATCCTAAAGAGGGTTAGTAAATCATCCTATGGGGTGAATTCTATAAATGCATCAAAGAGAGTTCCAATTTTTTATATACTCAGGGGATCATCAAGGGACTAGTCAATAGGGGTCGTGCCTATATTAAATGGAATGGCCCAACAATGGAAGAATAAAGGACGGCCTTATAGACCGTTTGCTGCGTCCTGATATCGTTCACTTTCATTAAGCATGTCTTGGAAGTGAAATATTTTTACGGGAACTAACACTTTCAAGCACGCTGAGTTCCAATCCGAAAACTTCCCGCGCCGTAAACCCGCAGTTTTCTCACAAAATGCTATTTTATCTTCGCTAATTTCACAACAATTTTTTTCATTGTTCAACGACACGGATCGATGACGCCACACGATTATATCACTCAAAACGACCAATTCTATTAACCAGTCTTCCTTTTAACAGAAGACCGGTTTTGCCCGAACTATGTTGAGTTATATAATCTTATGCGTGTTGCACGTAAACAACATATCTTGTCTGCAACTTTGAGAAGGTACAGATAACGCCTTCTAAAATCCTCAGTTCTAGCGATATCTCTGTAAAATCACAAGGACGTTAATGCTAAATCTTTTGGCTATATCACTGGCCTGAAAAATAACTAATTTAACGCGATCAAGGCATTTAAAACAAAAGTAATGCGAAGCCAACGTAACGGTAAAGACAACGCTAAAGTGAAATATTGTCGATTGGTTGCTATAGTGGAAGACTTACGACAGGATGAATCTTAAATAACCTTAAACTAGGGTAATAAATGTTCCTACCAAAGACAAAGACCAATGCCAAGGTATAAAATCTGCTCTGTAAACTTACGACGAAGTGGAGAAATGTGTGCATAAGCTGTTTATTTGGTGATTTTAACGTATATGGCAGCCTTCTTTCCAACAATATTCGCTTATCGCACAGAATAACACCAACTGATATAATAGTTCAAATGCAATGGTAAGTTACCTCTTGAATTACATCTCAGAAACTGTGTTGGAATTGGAAATGCTGACCCATTCCATAAGATTCCCGTTTTATATCGTTGTATAAAACATTTTGATCGCATGTAAGGAATTATTTCTCATCCCAGAGATATAGCCCAACGACTTAATATTGACGTCCTTGTGATTTTATAGAGATACAGTCAGAACTGAGGATTTAATTTACAAAGTGATATCGGTACTTTCCCAAAGTTGTAGACAAGATATGTTGTTTACGTCCAACACGCTTAAAATGACATAACTCAAAATAATTCGAGCAAAATCGGTCCTTTGTTCAATGTAGAGACTGGTTCATAGGAATTAGTCATTTTGAGTTATGCAATCGTATGTCTTCATCCATCCGTGTCGTTGAACAATGAAAAAAATTGTTTTGAAATTAGCGAAGATAAAATAGCAGTTTGTGAGAAAACTGCAGGTCTACGGTGCGGTAAGTTTTCGGATTTGAACTCAGCGTGTTCGAAAGTGTTAGTTCCCATAAAAATATTTCAGTTCCAAGACATGCTTAATGAAAATCGTTTTCTATGCACTTTTCCAGGTCACAGCGAATGGCCTATTAGTTACAATACAGAGGAGGAATGAGGGTCTTCAGAGGAGGGACATGCAACGCCCGCCCCAATGCGGCTCATTATTATTCAAAATATTTATTCTCAACGCGCCGTTCCATTAAGCTACATTGAGGGATTTCGGGAAGAGCCTCATTCCTCCTCTGGTTACAATAAATAAGTGTTTAGATTATTACCTGCAGTAATATTGAGATTCGCTCGAGATTTCACGCTTGGAACAAACTTTCTGTTAAACTCAAACATTATGCCCAGGTCTGCATTACGAAAGGCTTGGTAGTTTGCCTCGGGAATATTAACCACATCAGGATAACTACTACATCCAGCAGGCGGCTCAAACAAAAGATACTGCCAACCATGAGGCGTACATAGTTGAAGTTTTGTTGAGTAATATCTCAGAATACCAAAATCTGAGCCGTTACATCTGTAAGTTAAGAAGAAATTTAAAGAAACGTTTCTTTTGAAGGTACAACAATGTTTTATATGTGAAAACTGCAGCAACTATCATTACCACCACCATCACCTGTACATCATTAACATTACCATCCTTAATATAACGTTGCCAACAACTGCTATAGTGTTAGTATATATAATGCTCGTTTGTAATATTAGCATAGTATATAGTAATATACTATATATTATACAACACCTTTAATCCCCATTGAATTAATCCCTATTTTACTAAGAGTGCGATGGAAAGCATTCCATTCCACTCCCAGTCGCGCATTTCTGAATTATACGTTTTGTTCCATTGAACAGTTTGATTTGATTTTCAAGAAATTGCATTGGTCAAAATCGTGATTGTGTCAAAATGTTATTTATGTGATCACCATAATATAACCACAACGTTACTCATCACGAAAAACTAGGTGACTAATAATGAAACCAGATATAGTACTACACATTCCGGTGCTCTGGATCATGCGCAAAACAACACGTTGGCGGCTTGAACAAGTGCACCCCAAACGCGAATACATACTATTTTAAATAAAAAATGGGCATAAATTTGCGTTTGTTTTTGAACAAACTAACAGACTAACATACTCACGCACATAATATAAGCAATGCTTAACTTTTTGGGGGCACCGCATGCAATTACGCAATCCCACCAAAGTGCAGTGTAATCATGTGTATATTTAAAACATGATAAAAATATAACATTACTCTGGTTTGTAATGATGGATGTAGTTTCGGATTGAGGAATTGAATTCAAGTTAATCTTCACTTCTTCTGTCATTATTCAGAGATAGCACTTGAACAGAATAACATACTCATTGTATAGACTCATTTCCTCTAAAAAACGATGTATATTCCACATCCCCTTTCTCTCCTTTCCCTCCAGGTATCCGCTGCGTTCCATTTAACCCTGGCAACCCTATGGGTCAAGGAGATCCAGTTTTACTCGCCTGCCCTGCTGGTCCAGGATTACCTCGGTCCCCTTTCTGACCAGGAGCACCATCAGACCCATTTTGACCGGCAGGTCCAACTGGTCCTCGATCCCCTTTTACTCCAAATGTTGCTATTGTTCCATTAGTTCCCGCAGGACCTTGGTCTCCTTTCGGAAAACAATAATAGATTTATTGTAATTAAACGACCTGCCAACTTTCTGAAAATTACATTCTGATGGCATTTTTAAAACTTGTTACAAGCTGCGAGTGCCAATTTTCGTACAGTTTAAGCATTGGTGATCAAGATTATGCAATGCTGAAACAGTGGGACTTCGAGAATTTAAATATTTTGCCTATTAAGGTAGAATTAATTTTGTACTTACTTTACCCTTTGGTCCAGGTTCTCCTTTATCTCCAATCTGTCCTTTTATCCCCAAACTTTCATTAGTTCCAGGAAGTCCTCTCTCGCCTTTTTCACCTTTAGGACCAGTCGAGTTTATGACATTCTGTATGGCGGACAAAAATTAATTAATGAAATAGATTTTTGCCAATGTTTAGGTTTGCTGAACCTGTCCCAGGCTTCCTTAAGAACGGTTTCGGCAAGTGCATTTAAATTGAAAGAAAAGCTCACTGCCTACATGTTGCAAACACAATACGAAATAAAATCAAATATTTTTTAAGATGGAAATAAATCAACAATATTTAAAGAGTTCGTTTATTCCATTTAGATAATAGATTCCATTAATTCAAGAACCATTGTATTCTTCTTGTTTTCGAGATTTTTAGTAGTCATTCTGAGACGTCTAGCCTATTAGCGAAATTGCGTGTATTTCATGAAATAGAAATAACAGATATAGAATGCTACTCCTATCTTTTCTCAGCCAAAATCTTGTCTCCACATAATGGTGGATTTCAAAGGGCATTTTGACTCGCTCCAGACTCGCGCGGCTGGGAATTTCGCGCGGTGGCGTGGAGTGCGATACAACATGGAAAAAAAGTTTGTAAAGGTGGTAAACGTTTTAAAACACCCATCCCAATGGGTGTTTTTTTACGAAAAACTAATGTCTGGACTGTCAGAATGTATACAGAAATCGTCTTTAAATATTGTTGTGGAAGCCAAAGCAAAAAGTCAAAACATAAAATATTCAGTAGGTATGTTCAAAGAATGTTTCAACTCATTTATAATAATAATCAGTTTTTATAACAAAATTGCTTTTGAGAAACAAAACAAGAAGAAAATTGCTGCATATTATCTTGATGGTCACTGGTACTGTTATAACCCCGAGAAGAATAGCGTTGCGAACTGCCATGCTTTACAGCCATAATGCATTAGATTGAATATAAATTCTTATTTTGTTTCCCTTTACATATTATACAGGAAGCCATGTTGTTAAACGAGTCCGGCGGAGTTTGGTACACGGCTGCACGATAATTCATAATCCCCGAGCCGACGGCGCAAAGCGCCGTTCGAGGGTACTAATCCCCCCCGGCTATTTACACCCGGGGAAACGAAAGCATTAGCGAAGTCTAAAGTTCATCAATCATCGCGGGCGCTGACCAACGAAGGGCGATCTTGAGTGGGTGGTCATCCTTATCTCAAAAATATGGCAAGCAAGATTTTAATTTTAAAAGACATATATTTGGAAAATCGTTTCATATACAACAAGCTTGAAGCAATTTTGTTTGAAGGAATGAGAAGAATTGGTTTACTACGGGAAATCGGGAAATATACGGCAAGTTTGCTTTGAATATTTTTTAAATGTTTACGAATTTTGTTGCTTTAACTTTTACGTAATAAAAAACATGAACTATAGAAGCTCTAAGTTTCATAAATTACAGTTTAATTTGAGAAAAAATCTTAACATGTAAAGGCGAACAAATTGATTTGAAGACTGAACTGAAATTACCTAACAATTTTATTTTATTTGTATTAAACTTAACATCAGTTTTGTTAAGTAAAAATAGTTTATCGGCAAAATGTAGGTTTACTTGAATGAACATTTCAAAACATTTTACGAGCGTTTCAAGTTCAATTTTACATTAAATCAAAGCTCACAAAATGCAAAATAATATACCTACAGTATGTATTTCGGAAATTTATTGTTGTATAGTTAAGAGTACGAATCTTTCAACTATTTTGCAGTTTTGTACAAAATAATTATATGAAAATAAAAATTTAAGAATATCGTGTTGTCATGGCAACACTTGAGCGCGAGCCTGCGTTCAGTGCTGGTCATTTCTGAATACTTCATGTTTAGTGTATGGAAATATTGGCGAGGGGTTACTGCATGCATGTATTTCTAGTTATTGAATAATTATTTTTTAATTATTTGATATAATTAATTTTCAGCCCAAGATATAGGTTGCTGAACTTGTCCAGGCTGCTTTCCAAACGGTTTCGGCAAGTGCATTTCAACTGATTAAAATGAAATTTAAATTGTCAATACCCGTGCTTCAGCAGTGAACCACGCCTGAACCAGGCGGCGAACATTTTCATTCACAAACCTCCCTCGGGCATCGTGGCATTTAATCACTAATTTCCCTCATATCATGCTATTAGCTAATATAAGTAAAAATTCTTTATTTTTGCAAAGTTTCGGCCATTGTAGACTGTAGTATTGTAAAACAACAAGATTAATAAAAGCCTGACGACGGGAAGTAAAAATTCCCGAAACGTTGCAAAAATAAATCAATAACAATTTAAATCAAAATAGCAGTTTACTTGGTTTCAACACTACAATTTTCAATTAAAAATTACCAGTTCCTGTCCGGCGACAATAACTTTCCCCCCAGGACTGGTATGTTCAAACACGATATTCCCATTGTTTCCTGAACGAATATGAACACTTCCATCCTTGGTGAAGATTTTTGGGTCATTTTGTCCCCCGGAATAGAAACATAAAATCCTGTAAACAACCGTGCCAAAGTCACACAAAAGACATGCAGGAATTAATTGTTTTGTGAGAAAAAAATCTTTATATTGGATAGTCCTATTAATTTTAAACTGTTCTGCCTATAGGTACAGTGTTATAACTAATTAATTATAAGCTCATGCGCAATTGACCAATAACGATTCAGCCTCAATATAGGGACACGGGCTTAGTAGGTATCTGATTGGTTGATCGATTATATCAAAAGCATCTGATCTGTCGATGGTCCCTTAATGATAGCGGTAGTGGAAATCTGAACTTCCGTATTATCGCTTACAAAGCCGACAATTTTTGTTATAAAATGTTAGAATTGTTTTGTTCAATATAATAAAACACCTATTGGTTCATCTTCGCCCAATATGACAAAATATTAAGTTCCCATGATGCCCTATAAACTATGCCACCAACATATCAGCGCGCTCTAAAAATACGATTCTATATATCTATGAGAACTATTCGATTCGGTCTGATTTCGTCAGTATTGAAACACTGCACGCGCGCCAAAACATGCGTTAAGGCATTATTTTTAAAATATTTCGGGATAATTACAGTGAATCAGATGTATATTCATGTGCACATGCATACTTTATTAATCTAAATGTCTTTACACTCAGGTACGTATACTATGAATATATGATTACATGTTTACGTGTTAGCAATACGTTACTGAATAATTAACAATTATAATTACACATTAAGTTATTACATCTCCTCCCCTATCAGTTAATAAGTTCTAACTCTAAAGTGTTCGTTTATTTTTTTTTTATAATGTTTTTAACTTATCTAACAATATCATGATGTTCGCATAGTGTTTCTGATATAGCACTTAATATTAAATCTCTATTTTATTCAACTAATTAATTACTTATCTATAATCCTTTAAGTGTGTCTCGAATGTTGATGTCTTCTTCCTTCTAGATCTTCGCAGTTCTCGTGGCTCTTCCTGTCTGATGGTTTCTGGTTGGCTATGGGTTTCTAATTCAACATTCAAGGGTTCTGGCTGGGTTGTAGTTGCGGTTATTTCGGTTGTTGGTGGAATTTGGGTTGCTGGTCTTCGTTGCTGTTCTTCTGGGTGATGCTTATTCATTCTTAGCAGTTTGAATCGTGATCTATCTCTACATTTCGTCTTCTCATCCTTCATCCTTCTGGCTGTTACCATCGAGCCTTTGATTTTGGTTATAACATAAATGTACGGTTCGTATGGGGTTTCTCCTTTATTCTTCTTTTCTCGTTTAACGATCACTGCGTCTCCGGTCTTCAATTCGTATTCCTTCGATCGATGTCGTTTATCATGATTTCTCTTTACTTTCTCTTTGTATTGCTGATCGTTACGTCTCACGGCGTCATCGTTTGGTGATGTTTCCGTGGGAAAATGGTCCAATTTCGTTCTAACTTGTCGGTTCATTAACAGCTGGTATGGTGTGGTTTTGGTTGCGGGGTGTGGTGTGCTTCGGTAGGCTTGAAGCATATCATATGTTGCTTCGTGAAAGTTGGTGTGATCTTGTTTTGAAATTGCGGCGACCTTGTTAATTAATTTGTTGAAGATTTCCACCTGCCCTTGTGCTTTTGGATGGTACGGCGTGACAGATTTATGGGTGAATCCCATTTCATCAGCAAGTTGCTTGAATTCACGTGAATTAAATGGTGGTCCATTGTCCGTTTGAACAACTTTTGAGACTCCGTGCGTTGCGAATACTTTCTTCAACCTCTCTCTCACCTGTGCAATTGCTATCGAGCGGGTGAATTCGACTTCTGGGTAGCGAGAAAATTGATCTGTAAGCACCATGGCATATTCTCCATTAGGAAACGGTCCGCAAAAGTCAAGTTCAACAACTTTCCATGGTTGTTGCGGGATCTTTGTCATTTTCGCCGGTCCAGTGTGGAACGTATTTGTTGCTATCTGACAGCTAAAGCAGGCTTGTACAATATTCTCGATCTGAATATTCATCGAGGGAAACCAATACTTGTTTCGGATTATTTCCTTCGTCTTGCTGCTGCCAAGATGGCCTTGCTTGTGCGCAACACTGATTATTTTCTTCCGCAGCGCGATGGGAGGGATGATCCTCTCACCTCGAAGTACTACTCCGTCTGCTTCATATATCTCCGTTTTAATATCGTAATATTGTTTCAAGTCCATGGCTGTGTTTTCCCAATTACCAATTCTGATTACCTGAATGAGTGCTTGTAACTCGTTGTCGTTGCTAGTTTCTTCACGTACCTTATCTAATACAACGGCATGTTCGGTTGCGATCACTGCTCTTACACGGTGTTCTAAATGTGTCTCTTCGATATCTGGTAGTGGGTGACGAGATAGGTAGACGGTCATGTTCGATTTCCCTGGTATGTGTATCATAACAAAATCTAAATCTTGTGTCTTCATCCTTAACCGTTCCAGTCTTGGTGGTAGTTTCGCATTTGGGCTATTGAAGATTGGTAATAACGGTTTATGATCCGTCGCTATCTGGAATTGTTGCGACCCTGCAAGGTACATTTGCAGTCGGTTTGTTGAGAATTCTACCGCAAGGGCTTCTCGTTCAATTTGGGCATACTTTCTTTCAGTCTCTGTCAGTGTTCTACTCACATAATGGAATGGTTTATACCCATGGGCTGTCTTTTGGAATAATCCGCCTCCGAGACCGACTGGACTTGCATCGCAGATAATAAGGGTCTTCCTTCCGGTGTGGCATGGTATGGTACGAGTACAGGTGCTCTTGTCATTGCATTTCTCAGATCATCGAACGCCATCTGTTGCTCTTGATTCCATTCAAAACGATGACCTTGTTTCGTTATCCGCCTAAGTGGTTCTTATCTGCTGGAGAAATTTTCGATGAATCGGGACAGATATGCCATCACTTGGATAAACGATACCAACTCTTCTTTACTTTTCGGTCTTTCCATTTCCTGGATGGCTCTGATCTTGTTACGACTTGGTCTCAGCCCTTCGCTGGTGAAGTAATGACCATGGAATTCTAGCGATGTCCGACCGAATTCACATTTCTCCTTTCGAAGCGTTATGTTGTGGATTGCGAGTCGTGCGAACAGTGTTTCCAAGTTCCGATTGTGTTCTTCCCAATCTTTACCTCCGACAATGATGTCGTCGCGGTTGTTTAAGACATGAGGTATGCCCGAGATTATCTTTGCGATCTCCGCATCAAAAAGATCTTCGCTGTTCTTGCCACCGAATGCAAGTCTTTTGTATCTATAGTTCCCCCAGGGCGTTGAGAATGTCATTATCTTTCTAGATTCTTCATCGAGCGCGAATTGATGGTATCCGTGGTTCAGGTCGATTTTACTGAAGACTGTGCAGTCCTTAAATTCGTTTACAAAGTCTTCGGTGATGGGTGATTGTACGTGCCTTGTGCGTGCCATAGACTGATTTAGAATTTGGAGATCGAGACTCACTCGGATGTCCTTAGGATTCTTCGCTTTCGGTTGTACCACACGAGGTGAACACCACTCGATTGCTTCTTGTTCGGGGACCTTCTCTATGATGTCACTTTCGACGAATTCGTTAATGCGCTGCTCCAGAGGCTCTAGTAAGTGATACGGCACCCGTCTTGGTTTCTGAGCTATCAATGTCGCATCCTCATTCATGGGTAAATGGATTTCAATAACTTCTCCGTCTCTTTCCGCCTTTCCTACTCCGTGGAATCTTCCTTCATACTTCCGAGGATTTCTTCAAGTTTTGGGTAGGTTGCGTCTGTTTTCTTTACTTTGTGTGTATCTTTTTTTCCAGGAGTTTTCTAAGTTTCCAGTCTCGTCGATGAGAACCATGCCTAAATTGGATAAGGTGGGTCTTCCGATCAGTGGCAAAGAATCCATTTTGCCCCTAATAACGATAATGCGTGTTCATGTCTGCCTCGTTTGGTTTCTGATGGTCACAGAACATTTTCCTAGTACCGGGATGTCTTGTAGAAGTGCTCGCAGCTTTGTTCTGGATTTCTTCAGCCGAATTTCAGATCTCGCTTTCTGGTGTCGATCAAATTGCTCTTGCATCCGATCCCGTGTCCGGTTCAATTTCTGTTGCCACATCATTGATCATTACTGTACACGATTTAGAAATTTTCTTGGCATTCAATCGAGTTGTTTGTCTGATTCGAAGGTGTTGGATGAAGTCTTCGTCGTTCGAGCTGTCACTAGAACTGATACTCGAGCTCTCCTCCCCCGTCCTCTCGACGTGTCGAATATTTGGTTTTCTGTGCTCTGGTTTATAGTTGCTTTGGTCGTCTGGCTTCGAGTATTGGCGGCTTTTGGTTTCTCTTCTCTCTGATTTATTGTCGCGACGTTGATATTGAGAATTCTCCCTTCGCTTGTTGAGTTCCCACCGGGACCTCGTATTGAACGCGATCTACAAACAATGGCGAAGTGGTTTTGTTTACCACACTTTCGACATTTCGCACCATATGCGGGACATTTTGCTTCGTCGTGCTTACGCCCACACCGTTGGCAGGAATCTTGTTTAGCATATTTCACTCTTTGGCTGCTTGATTTCTTTGGCTTGCAGTTGACCTTGCTCGGTGATTGCTGCTTCCTCGAGAATTTCTTGTAGTGTCCAGTTGTTGCGAATAGCTTTGACACGAATCGCATTGTTATGCATTGTTTTGATCAAGTGGTCGCGTATCGCATCGTTTTCGTCTGTATAGCTACATTTCTTGGCGATTTCTCTGATTCGGGCGTAGTAAGTCGCCATCAGTTCGTCGTCTTGTTGTACCAAATTTCCGAGTTTAAAACGAGCATAATCTTTATTCTCTCTCGGCAGAAAGTGCTGATCGAGCTTGTGAATTAAGCGAGTATATTCGTTTTGATTTCCTTCGAGTGCTGGGTCGGGTATGGAGTCGTCTAAGTCAGCGATTTCTTGACCGATCCGTATATAATAAGTCCGTCTTTCTTTAGTTGTGGGTCTTCGATACCGAAAAATCTGAATTGTCGCTCGATATTCTGCTTCCATTTGGCCCAACGAACGGCTGTATCGTTGCTGTCTCTCGTCAACTGAAATGGGCCGATATTTAAGTGTCGATTTATTATGGTCACGGCTGCATTTTGTGTTGCTCCAACAGCGCTTGTACTTGACTGTGCTTCAGCGATTTCTCCGTGGTCCATATTCTTGTTCATTGCACTTTATTCTCGTTATTTTTTTGAATCAAATACACTGAAATTTCGATTTATCCTCGTCGCCAATGTTGTGCTGTGCGCATGCATGCTTTATTAATCTAAATGTCTTTACACTCAGGTACTATGAATATATGATTACATGTTTACGTGTTAGCAATACGTTACTGAATAATTAACAATTATAATTACACATTAAGTTATTACAGCATCAATATCCGTTTAATTGGATCATTGCCTATACTATCCAAGTACGAATTCGGACCAACAATTATCTGCAGTTTGAAAAAATATTTTTCATATAGTATAAACCCTTTCCGAATTTGTTTGTTGCACAAAAATCATGAATTTGAACTCGAGACTGAAAAGGTTATCTAACTTATCCCATTTAGGTTAATAGTGAATGCATTGTAAACTCGAGCTCGCGACCTTGTGTGTACTGAAGCGAAGTCCGAAAGAGTTCATTTGCATGCCCTAACAGACAAATCCTGGCAACTAACAGATCAGAAAATCCGCCGAAAACACTAGAGCAATTTATACGAGCGAAAGTATTTAAAACCGCCGCCTAAATTAATCTGCAGCTGCAATGAGTCGCGACTCGCGAACGACTCGTATAAACAGATAATTTGCAATAAGCCGCGGCTTCTTTAGGCCTATCAGCTATATAGCTTTCAACCCTGGGCTCTGTCTAGCCACGTCTTACGAGTAAATTGACTGTTTATACAAGTTGTCCCCGATCCTATAAGAGGCCTCGTTCTGGAAGACTGGGAATACAATTAGCATGACCAGAATTTAACGAGCTGTCGCAATTTATTCCGTGATCAGCAGGCGAATAATTCAGAGGCTTTATTAAAAGAAAAAATGTGACCTTCCAAATTCTACTTTGCCTCGATATCTTTATAGTCAAAAACTTAGTTCATATTAGAGAGGTTAAGTTTCGGTGTACGGGTACGAGTAGTGTCATCTTGTTTTACTGATGTCTGTAATTCGATCATACTTTTTCTGTTTTCTTTCAATAGACAATGATAAAATGCGAAAAATGTGCACCTTAATTACGAGTAAAGCTACATACAGTACAGACATCGACGAAAATATTGCTAACCAAAATCATGCTACCCGTACACGTACACCGAAACTGGGGTATCTTAACCTCTCTATTAACCTAAATAGGCATGTGTAGAGTTATAGTTGCAATGAATTTTCTCTCTTGGTCGGTGAAGGTCAAAAACGCAATGCCCCCAAGTGCGGTCCATGCAATAAAGCCTAAACTAACATGTCTAGCATTACAAATATACTGTATACATCATGTTTAATCTAATTTTACGAGTAAACATGCGGCGGCAACCGTAACTTTTTGCAACTTTGTTTGTTTGTGATTATAATATAAAATTAATAAAGCATAGTCCAACCAATGTTGACTTTTAAAACTTCACTTTCCAAATTTAAATTTAATCATAGTTGTAGACGAACTCGTACCTGTCAACAGTCTCTCAAATTGGCACATCATGTATAATAAGCCAAAGGGCTATAAATATATAAAAGTTTAGGTTTTTGTCGAGGGTGACAGGTCGAGTCTCGAGGGTCCAATGTCGAGGGTCGAGGGTAAAAAGTCGAGAGTTACACTATATAAAAAAGTCGAGGGTCATATAAAAAAGTCGAGGGTCATAATATATAAAAAGTTGAGCGTCGACATTGGACCCTCGACACCCAACCTCCCACCCTCGACAAAAACCTAAGCTCTAAATCTATTTAACCCCTTGAATTCTCACTTATTCAACACACCCTACACTGTAGCCTGCGTGAGCCTGCCACGCAGGCCACCTATGCTGTGACATCACGAACATTCTTAGATAGGTTCAGATGAAACAAGTTTAGACTCGTCCAAAATTCATTTAGTTTATCTTTAAGCATGTTGATATTACAATTCATGCAATGAAAACATTAGTGGCTTTTCTCCGTCAAATTTGGAATTCTGCTGTGCATGCTATGAGTTGATCCTTCCATAAAGTTTGGATAAAATGTGACAATTTCTGTCAATAATCACTAATAACTTTTAAAAACAGTCAACTTGAATTCAAATGCTTTGCCTTTGACTTTGAGTCAAACTTGATGACGTAATTTTAATAATATGTAGGGTCGGTGGAGCAGTCTTTACGCTCTCTCTATGGACTCATGTGAAGAGAGTGTCAAAGCGTGGTTTCCTCTCCGGGAAAGTTGACAGGGTGGATTAGGATAAACAGTTAGGAAAATAATATCACATTTAATAAGTTCTGGGTAGGTTTGCATGGCGATAAAACATGTAATATTTTGTTTGTGGAAACACCACGCAAATTATTACTGCAAAGCTTTCGATGCATATAAGCCCGGATCTTAATCAGTAATAGCACTGATGAAGATCCGGGCTTACAGATCATAGATATCTTATATACACAAGATAGTGCATCTAATTATTCTGCAATTCAAAAATTGAAGCTGTGATTGCAGTCTCAGGTCGTTCCCATGAAATGAGGAGATTCGTATATGTTTTCTAATTCTTAAACAGGGAACTTAAACATTAAGTTAACCCTATGTCAAATACGTTTTTAATCTATTCAAATGATGAAAGTTAATGTTGTTTTTAAGTACTGTTTAATAAACGAGCAGGAGTGTTTTATTATGTTTAAAGACACGAGCGCGCAGCGCGAGTGACTTTAGACCTAATAAAACACGACCTGCGAGTTTATTAAACGGCTTCAAACACGACTACAAATTCAATAGATATACCGCCTTATTAGTATTCTTTATATAAAAAATACTAATGAGGACACGACAACAATAGATACTGCCTTGTTAGTATTCTTTATATAAAGAATACTAATTAGGAGTGTTTTATCAGGTTTAAAGCCACTGCACGTGACATATTATGGTTGACACGATTTGCCAATAAGCTTATGAATTATTAATGAGTGTTTGAAGCATTTATTAGCAAGTGGGAACGACCAACATGGCCGCCATCTATTCAGATGGGGGTAACCGCTGGAATATTCTTGGCTTCAATTTTACTAAAAGAGATGCACTATATAGTGTGTATAAGATATCTATGTTACGGATGGAAACCTTTGCAGTAATAAATTTAGTAATTTACGTGGTGTTTCCACAAACAAAAGTATTATAAATATCACAATTGTTATCTGTAGTCTAGAACTAGGCTAAGTAGGTAATATAAGTAAGCGGCACTTGATATGTAATCGGTTACTGAAAAAATTCCTAAATAATGTATAATCTATAATCTATTAATCGGTGGCTGAAAAGATGCCTAAATAATGTTTAATCTATTTCAAATAGATTATACATTGAACTATTTCAATGTTTATTAGCCTTAATTTTGTATATTTGTTCACACAATTCAACGTGCAACGAAAATTACGAAATTCAACAGAATTATACGTCTACTATTATTTTCAAACTAAGATTTTGCGGTTGTAAGTGTTCCAAATTTACTTGACGAAGGTCTATGATCAGTATTGGTGCGCGCTTCTCATTCATCGAGACATATGATATAATTTTAGTCCATACTAGTCAGTACTGGTGCGCAATTCTCATTCACAGAGACATACGATATAATTTTGGAGCAAAGACCAATTATAAAATAAAAGTCAAACTCACACACGCCATTTCGTGTTTGAAGAATCGTCGAAAAAGTAAGAAATGTGTACAAAAATATAATAGCACAATCCATATCGTTAAGAGTTCGATACGTTCAGAAGGATGTCTAATTAATAGGTATTGCGTACCAAGATATTTCCTTTGATCCACCGCGGTCATTAATCTGCTTGAGGGTGCCTAAATAAGAGTTCAAGACTTCAAGCTAAACGCACCGGGGGCCGGTTTAGTATGACACGATATTTAACTGCATGCGCATGCAATACTTGAAACAGAATGGGGAGAATGGACAGTCTGTCGTAGTTTCACCAAGGCCGTTGCGAAGTGTTGAAGTATGATGCGATATAGGGTATCCGATTACTTGCTGTGCTGAGTGGTTATATTACTACCTGAAATAAACAAGCAGAACCTCGACGTTTCGAGCGAAGGCCCTTCGTTCGAAACGTCGAGTTTCTGCTTGTTTATTTCAGGTAGTAATATAACCATGCACTCAGCACAGCAATTTCACATTATATTGGTACTATACCCACACTGGTACAGACAGTTTTAGTATATATCAGATCACTTCTCTGTGGTGGATAGTTGTAATAACGTACCTTTCAATCAATTCAATGCACTAAAAATCAAAGTAATACCAGTCAGGTTTCTGGTTGTAAGAAAATACGAGAATCTTGGCGTCGAACTAATTCGCCGCACTCGATACGTCTCTGAGATCACGTGTTGGGCTTGTTGCTTATTACATGATGCACGCATGACCTACGGGACGATTCCACTAGTTTTACACACCTGATACGGGTTGGTACTTGTGGGTTGCCGATCCAGGTGGTCGGCGTGGACAGAATGAGATCAGATGCATGTCTAGAAACGTGGGATTTGGTATCGTCATAGGTTGCTGCTTTGGTATTGTGTTCTCTTAGTCATCACGTCTGGTGCATGAGACGAACCGAAATTGCATATTCAGGTGGAATTAAAACCCTAAAGGCTTACACAAATTTTTGCATGTTTATACATCATTCTGTTATCTGCCAGTCACTGGGGTTGGATAAGCAGAGAACCTCACTGGAAAACAAAGATGCTTTGCTCAGTTTGCTGTACATTTCTTTAGTCGCTAGCCTTTTGTGGGGGAGATTTCATCTGTATATAGCTTGGTGCTACGTGAGATTTAAAGGCACAGTTCTTACATTTTGAATGATGGTT